GACTCATGGAGTTCGTTCCTTAGTCAGTTCGTTCCTTTGAAGGAGCTGAAGTGGGCACCCTTGCTAGGCCGACCCTCTTTTTCTTTACTAGTGGGGCGCCTTCTTCCACCTCGTCTTCTGCAGCAGGCTGAGGAGCCTTGTTGAGGGACAATAGACACTCCGACTGCTGCTTATATACAGTCCAGCTCGTTTTCAACATTTTTGCCTCCGCCACACTCCGGCGGATTGTTGTAAAATCTGGCCTCGGCGCCTTTTTCTTTACAAAATCTCCTGTAAAACGGACAAACGAATAAGTGTTTCAAGTACAAGTAAAACATGGAAAGAACCAAAGCTATGCATTTACCTTGATTTGACATCAGTCCGTGGGCGACGAAGTGGGTGTTCTTGTCGATGATTTCCTTGTAACTTCGCTCCTTAGGAGTCAGTAGGTAGAGTTGGCTGATGATATCCCACTCTTCCTTGGACATTACACACTTTGGTAAAGAGCCTGTAAGCGATATTAAATAAATGAGCAAAATAGACAAGTGAAATCAACTCGGGAAAGAAGCTTACTGTAAAGTGAGTATGAAGTGGGGATGGTAAGAAGGGCTATGGGGTCGCCCTCCATAGCATCCCATCTCCCGGCTACCCAAAACCAAGAGTTCCTCCAACCCTTTACCGAAGTGGGCAACTCGGTCATGAACGGGGAGTGTGACCCCCAGGGCGCCAACTCGGTCATAGAGTTGCCAACGCATATTGTTTCGGCAGTACATCTTAGCGTTGCAACATCTTTCCACAGAGTTGCCAACCTATATCGCTTCGGCAGTACATCATAGCGTTGCAACAGCTCTCCACGGAGTTGCCAACCTATATAGCTTCGGCCACATAAACCTACGTTGCCAACCCTCATCGCTTCAATCTGAGCAGAATTCGAAGTTGCCAACAGCTCATTCCCATGCTTCCCCGCTCAAAAGTCCTTGTACTATAAATATCCATACATGGACTTGCGAGACTATTGTTACAGGTCTACGTCAGACCCTCTGCCTCAATCGCCACGTGTCAGCATACGTGGCCGATCCACGGATCGACCGAGGCGATTACGCATGGGACGATCTGATTGTACCCACCGAAGTGATTGCCCCTTGGAACGAACTGAATATGCGTCAGTGAATGAACCGGACTCATCCACAGGTACGCAGTGGATACAAAGGGCCGTACTCTTCTTCCACAACGCCCCACCTGCCTCGCCTCATTGTCAAAGATCTCTTGTACAAAGATTTTTCCAAAGTCAAATCCCTGGCTGATAGGACGTGTGGTGGGTCCCCAAACGGTCAATTCAGCTGCTATGTCAGAGAACATTCAATGCCAGCCACCTATGAATGGATTGATTGACACCTAGGATGGGACGAGCTCCGGAGATCTAGTAACAAGTGTCTTCTCATCCAACGGCCCTCCCCTTCCCGTCATTGGTATAAATGCCCCCTTCTTATGCCTTAAGACGGGATGGGAATTTCTTGGGGATTCAATACACTACTACGCCTAACACTTAGAGTATCATCTCCTCCCCTATATTGTTGGCACTTTATTATTGCATGTTCAATCACTTTCCGGCGAGTGTTCTACCGTCGCGAGCCTCTTTTGATTGGATTTCAGACTGACTTGACCGTCGGAGTGCTTGCGGCCGCTCCCAACCCCTCCGGGAAAGGTCACGAGCGACTGATGGCGTGCTACGTGTGCAGGGAGGAATTGACTAGAAGACCTTCTTCTATTGGCCACTTGTTGGGGCCATTTTTCGATGTCAACAAATCATTTAATAATTTGAGAAAATCTTAAGCTCATATTTGATTTATATTAAAATTAAATTAAAATCAAAATCAATTGTTAATATAAACTACAAAACCTGCCATAGCATCTTGCTATTAGGATAATGGATGAGAATGAGAGCTTGAAGAGGAAAAAATTGGATTCAACTTTACACATTCCGTACACACAGGGACGGATCCATGACCGGATTACAGGCCGGGCTAATACGTAAAAAAAAAAAATTACACACGATTTTTTTTTTTTTTTAACATAATTTTTTTTCTAACGCCATGTTGCATAACACTTTAACGATAAAAGTTAACATGATAATATCTAATATTTTTTTTAACATAAACTTAAAATATACGATTATATCTTTAAAGTTTTTAGTTCGTGCCGTCCGTTATTCAGCGTACATGGTCTTTAAGGAAAAATTATAGCATGTCTTAATATTCTAGAAATTCAAGGATCTCACTTGAATTATTAAAAATGCAATTGGCCTCTTAATCATACTTTTCAACCTCCAAGTTTTATTGCTCTTGACATCAAACTCGAAAATAATGCGTTGCATGGAATTCACGTAGTTAATTTTTCATAGGAGGAAATTATCTTGCCAATGTTAAAATTATACATTTAGCACGTTTGGTGGCCATTCTTTTTTTTTGTGACAAAAAGTTTTAAATAGTGTTTTAGAAGAATGTGTGGTTAAAAAATTTTAATTTTACTTGCAAAATATTTTATTATGTAAATGTGATTGAAAAAAAGCATAAAAAGTAAAAAGTATTATTTTAACGGGACACAAACATACGCTTAATAATTATGAAAAATAAATTNTTTATTATGTAAATGTGATTGAAAATGATTATGTAGAAAAAAAGTTTGAAAAGAATGGAAATAAAATGGGGGCTTAATCCCTATTTGAGTCCTTTTTTTATATAAATTTTCAAAAACTAATTTTATAGAGAATGAGTGAGTAAAAAATATGATTTTTTTTTTTTTTTTGGAATTTATGTACATAAAAAATTATTTATTAAGAGAATGTTTAATTAAAAATAAATTTAAGAAAAAATATTTTTTTAAAAGAATATTACTCAAACAAGAACTTAGTCCCAGCCTTTCAAAATTATGCTTTTCAATCTCAATGTCTAGTGTCGAATGCGAGTATAGTTTGTATGGCAGATCTTTGCATATCGAGATATCAATATCAAAGGTCAAAAAAATGCAAAGAAGCATTTGTGAGGATGTAGAAATGTCAAGATCATTAAGTTGGATAACCCTTTCTTTCATTAATTAACCTCTGTGTTAAATTGTTCGACAAACTTCCCTGTACATAAAACATGATTGTTCTTTCACCCCTTTTTTTAAAATGAGAAAGATCTGGAGATATTTTATACAATGGTCGGTGGTATGATTAGTCTTTTCTAATATCTTAGTCAATCTTGAAAATGGATTTTAGTATTTGTACATAAAAAATGTATATAATGGATTACATAATATGATGTGGAGAGATAATACTGGATGAAAAATTTGACTGTGTTTTAAATTGTCAAATGGTAAAGTGTCACGTGATATTATGTAAATTTTGATGTACACGTAGCAAGATCCCTTGAAAATAAAATTTGTTTTGCAAACTACTAATGTTGAGAAAATTGCAGCCGCGTTCACCAAATTGTTACTTTCTAACAAACCTTACATATGGGCCCACGCGCCATGACTCGTGAATGAAACACGGTTTGGACTGCTGGAAATTTTATTCTACATTATAAAATATTAACAAGTTGAAGAAGTGGTTCATAGGAATTATTCAGTGCACTGTTACGTAATAGTATGTTCATTCGGTAGGTAGGAGTAATAATAAATGTATTTTATTTTCTAGTTCCCTTAACGTGGAATACTAGTTTTACATGCGTGCTAAGTAAAATATAACAATTTTATATAGAGCTTTGTTGGGAAAATATGTGTGGTGACATACTTTCTTATTAATGATTAATTAGTTGTTTATTAGTTTTATAAGGTTTTGTGGTCGAGCTTTTAGATTTTATTCATGGTATAAATTATGTTTGTGTTATGCCTCATTCATTATAAGAATCATCACGTGACAATCACATAATGAGTGAACTCAGGACCACACTCCACATCACTTTTGCTATCTGACAATTCCGTTGAACTCTTGTGTGGACGATGTGAAGCGATACAGCCTCTAGCCAATGATATGCGTCCTTCATGAGATTTACCGCACAAATGATTTATTGATGTAATCACTCACTACAGCAGTTACTCTATCAAATGAACTTCCTCATCTCCGAAAAAGGCTATGTGTTGTTAACAATTTGTCCAAGTGTGCAAGCACATGCTATGTGCAAGTAAGTAAGGTGAGGATTTGTTGGCAACATCAGCTATGCAGAAATCAAGGTCAACAGTCTGTGTAATATCCCGAAATTTTCTATGATTTTTAGGATTTTTTTCGTAAAGATTGCAATGGAGTTAAAAAGGTGATAATAAAATTTGGAAAATGGACAATTGTAACAATTATCCAGAATTTAAAATACAAATAAGAATTTATCTTAATTGCAGTTAAACTTGTAGATACAATTTTTTTTATGGACAACTTTAATTACTTATAATAAGTAAAAATAATAGAAATAAGAGAATCTTATGGTACAAAAATACGAGCTTTGGTCGAGATCGTATTAGTGTATCAACATGAGATTCTAGTAAAAGATTAATGTTAAGCGTGCTTGACTGGAAAATCTCATGATGAGCGTCTTCTCAAAAAGTTTCCTAAATTAAATCTAGAGGCAGTGGTTTCGACCCCTTCACTTTTTTCTCCATCCCTAGAACTCTCATTTTGATGATATTTAACACTAAACATGATATATAGAATGATTCTTGATCACTTTGAATTTTTAACAAATAGATGTATCATGTGTAAATTATGGATGATAGAGAACTTGAATGCTAAGATATGCAAGGGACACACGAAAGTACTAGTGGCTAGTAGGGGTGTAAGCGGTTCGATTTTTGACAAATTTTCAAACCAAATCGTTTAAACCGTAAGCCAAACCATTTTGAACGGTTTGAAA